GGTAACCAAGCAAGCTATGTGAATAATCTTTCCGCAATTGTATTTAAAAACACTCAATTAATAGTCTATCAGTGAGTTTTTTTGATTATATTAGTAGAGAATTTTTTTATAAAGGTTCAAAGTTGTCAATTTTATTGATTTTTACTATTTTGGAGGTGTCACAAAAATTTCAAAATAACATTTAAAAAATCCGCATATATGAAAATTTATTATTATTTTTGATGATCAACCATTGTGACCAACCCCAATCGATTCGGAGATAACTTTAACCACCAATGGAATATTTTTATAATGTAACTAAAAACGATAGAAAATAATAAGAATTATTATTGAGAATGTGTATAATTGAGAAAAAGCTTGTAAATTAATCATATGTCTTTAACAAAACAAACATGACATAACTATTAATCATTTCCTTATATGTGAATGCCTCCATCCATCAAATATTCATGAATAATAAATTTGATGTTGATCACAGGTGTCAGATTTAATTAAAATTTCTTATCACCAACAAGCAAGCATTGTGCTTTCAACACTTCATAACTGTGTATTTTCTCCCACAGGTGAAACAATTGAACAAGTTGGTAGGCTTTGGACAAAACTTTTCCTATCTTTTCCTCAACCTCTCTGGTCTGGTGCTGTAAGGGAAGATTAGTGAAAGTGTCATTGACAATTGATGCAGTTTTGGTAAACTCCAGAGCAGAGCGACCCCCCCCTGGAATTTAGTTGCAACATTGTATCATCAAGGGAGGCAAGTCAGATTAGCCTTATGTACACAAGGAAGATGAGAATTACTGTAATGTGTTCAAGGTAGTGTGTGTGCTTCAACGCCTGTTATTTTCTGATAATCAAACATTGCATTTAGAATTGTTTCTTTTTCAACAGTCAGTGCTGCCTTGACATCTTGTAATTATATATTAATAATAGTATTATTATTACGATTACACAAAGCAAAATATTATCAATGAAAATCTTGTAATTACCCAGCAAGATCTGCTCCATGTTTTGATTCCAATTAAAATATTTATAAACTAATATAAAAGACACCTCATACATATCAATACAAGTAAAAAAAAAGTACCTCTGGTTAGTTATTAGCATGTATTCCTTAGGAGATCCAAACCGAACCAAACAACAACACTCACGTTTTGTCTAGGGATGGGAACAGTTCCTGTCACGCGCCGCGACGAATAATATTTTCATAATTGATCCGTGACGATTAATATACTAAATTACAGGTGACATTTAGATTGCCAAAACAAGACAAATTAATTGTCACCTATAATTTAGTATATTAATCGTCACGGATCAATTATGAAAATATTATTCGTCGCGTCGCGTGACAGGAACCGTTCCCATCCCTAGTTTTGTCACCTTGGACTCTGTCAAAATAAATTGTTTTTCCAAAAAAAAAAACAATTCGCGTCTGTCCTACCAAAAAAAAAACCAATAATTAATGTGTATGTGTCAATCAAATCACAAACTTCTTTTTTTTATAAAGATGTCAACCATAAAAAGAAGAAAAGAATATAACAAAGATTGGCGGTTATTGCAATCATTGCAGCTTGTCATTTTACTGAATTTGAATTTTTTTTTTGTTTTAAGTCAGCGACAATGGCAACAGCTTTTCAAGGAAAAGCTTGTGTCAGCTCTTGATATGCTTCGAACTTTACCATCAACAACAGTTGCAGAGCTGTTAAAAAATGAGGAAGAAATTGTTGGGTTAGTGGAAAGTAGTTTGGATCATTTAATAAATATTTTTCATAAATATTTGAGATCTGATCACAATATGGTAAGTTTCCAACAAATTTATTGTTATGAATCCATTCATTTTTTGTCAACTCATATTTTATCTTTTGAAAGATCGAACCAATTAATTCTGAAGCAGTGATAGGTGAGGGACCATTCCTATCTCAAGGTACATAATTTTATTTTTTAGGTTTGTTTTTGATCTGATCTCAGAAGAAAATTCTGATAGTGATTTTAATAATTTTGGTAAAGATTTCAACAAAGATAGTAGCAGTTCACCAAATCATGATGGTAATGATGACTATAATTAGTCAACAAACATCATCAGATCAAAATGGCAATAATGACTATGATGGTAATGAGACAACAACTAATGGTGATGAGGGTGATAGAGTGATTATTAGTCAACAAACATCATCAGATCAAAATGGTAATAATGACTATGATGGTAAAGAGACAACAACTAATGTTGACAAGGATGATAGAGTGATTATTAGTCAACAAACATCATCAGATCAAAATGGTAATAATGACTATGATGGTAATGAGACAACAACTAATGGTGACAAGGATGATAGAGTGATTATTAGTCAACAAACATCTAATCAAAACATAAATGAACTTAATGATGCTGAGGATTCCCTGGAGATTGTGGTAGAAAAAGAATTAGGTCTGTCTGAGATTTTAATATTTGTCAACAAAATTGTAAAAATTATAATGTTGGGTCCTCAGCAAAAAGACATCATAGAAATCAAAAGGTATCACAGAAAATTGATCTTTACTATTTATACATAAATATAATATTTTAAAATATATAGGTTCCACAGCCAATATCAACACAGTCATCTCCTCTGCAATCACCAATACCACCTTCTTCAGAAATAAATTTTTCTGGCAATGATTTAATCTGCTTGGAATGCCCTCTTCACTGTGGATTGCTTCTGGATAATCAATCTATATAATTTATTTTGTGATATATTATATGGAATGTGGATTTATTGACATATTAATTATCTCATCCTAATTTGCTTTGATCTGATAATAATAATTATCTTGTAATGATACTAATACCTAACAAATAAAAACATATCTTACACACATAAAATTCACCTAATTACCCCTCTCATCACAATTCACTGTAAACAAATATCACTAGTATTGACCACACTATAAACAGAGCATTTAAGTCACTTATCTGGTTGAAGAGAGCTTAAGCACTCTTTACTTGTTAAATATGTAAAGAAAAAGTATCCTAAAGGAACATTCCTCTTCTTACAATATTGATTACTTTTATATAGGAATACTACTTGAGGAAAAACAATGATAACAAACAGACATTATAAAAATTTTGAACCCTTGAAATCTTTAGTAATATGAATGTTCACTTTGTCTGGTTTTGTTGCAGCATGCCTCAAATCCAAATCAAAAACATTTGGTCTTAAGGCTAATGACAACACTGTAATCCATAAATTGCATTACATTGATAAATTTCAAAATTTAGATTAAATACATCTGTTCCATATCTAAAAATTTATTCCATATCAAATATAAAGAAATTCTTATGCATTCCATATGTTTATTTTCTATAGGGCATTGGGGGACATCAAGATAATTAAACATATGGAACCATTAGTATACAAGATGGAATAATAAATTATATCAAATGGATATTGAATGGTATGTAGTTTAGTAAGGAGAATGGATCAAATAAGTTTAGTGTAGAGGTATGTAATCCAAGATTTGTTATTCTTGGCATGTAATATTATTAAGAAAAAATACCATGGTATCAAGTATGTTACACAAATCACGAAAATGTGATTATCATTTGATTTTGATAATAATATATATAAATCAGTAATTTGCATTTACTTTAGCACATGTATTTCTGGGGTTTTATTACATTATATGGATGTCTACATATTATTAAAAATATTATTCACAGTTTTTATCTATTACTATGCTAATGTTACCAGAATTAGGATTTGTTAGATCAAATATTTTATTTCTATTTAGTTCTCAAAAAACAAATGGATGATGAGAAACTAACAATGGGATGTATTTGGTACATGAAAGTGTTAATGTTGACAAAAATCATTTTGGTATTGTTGGAGTGCATGAAATACATATGAATGTTCTTGTCAGAGATAAGGTTAAGGTTCATCAATATTACCACCTACAATCTGCTGTGATTCCTGTACAATTATTGGACATGAACATTGTAAACCAAACTTGTTGAAACTTTATTACTTTGCTTAATATATTAATTACAAATTTATCCTTGTTTGGAGATCTATAAATAAAAATCTGGTTATTGCCTATATGGTTTTTGTAAAATTTGGTTTTCATGTTGTCGATCGTTAAATTGACCAATAGGAATGCAAGTATCCCGAAGGTAATTACTAAAATTGATATTAAATTTTATACCATTCAAGGGATAATTAATATTAAACTGATAATTCATCAAAAACGATGAATGATTCAATATTTGTTACCACATGCTTGGCTTGATTATTTTGATTAGAGTGTAAAATTGACAAAGCACATACATGGTTTGTAAAAATAGATACTGTTCATGGTGATTTATGGGGGAGATTTGACTATTAATATTAAGTTTTCTTTTTGCAAGAATGATATTAATATAATGTTGCTATTTCAACAATTTGTCACTGATCTTTTTATGATATCTTAAATTCAATATTACAGACAAGAAATAACTTTAAATTATATATATATATATAACAAATACTTTTAAATTTATTCATTTGCACAATGATTAATTATTTAATGGTGTTGCTCTCCTTCCTTACATACAATTAATCAATTTTTTTATTTTAGTTTTGAGATTATAAAATAATTAATTAGTTGAATTGAAAAATATATTACTATGTATATGCACAATATAAAAATATAATAATATGACATACTATTTTTTCATCATTCCAAACTGGTGGTGGTATGTTTCTTTCCCATTTACTACCATCAGGTGATGTTGGAGCTAATATATAAACATTGAAAATAAATATTGATTTGAATCATCCAAACTTTGATGAAAGCAATAAAGGGCATTTTATACCTTTGTAAGGATCAGGATGAGAGTATTTTTGAAGTTCAGCTTCAGTTGCCAAAAAAATTTCTTTTAATTGTTTTGTACTAGAAACATTTCTATTTGCTTCAAATTTTGCACGAATTTCCAATGCTACTGGTCTCCATAACCTACGTTCAACATACCAATCTAAAGCAAGTTTTAGAGAGCGTTTGTATAAAGAAGTAACGTAACGTCTATGAGCTAACGAATAACTTGCTTGTGACATTATGAAATGTTAAAAAAAAAAATAGACATGTAAAAAAAAATTTTTTATGTCGATTAATATGGAAATCAATTTGTCAATCACTAGTTTGAATGGCAGATAATACGTAATAAATTTTATTATTTAATTTGCAAAAAAAAAAATTTTTGATAATGAATATGCAAAAAGATGAGTTACCTATTGAAGAAAAACTTAAAATTTCAACCAATTTCTTACTTGACAGCCCTCCTGGGGAGGTTAGCTTTGTATACGATGGTAGAGATTAATATACTTTTAATATTTGGAAAATTTTAATTGATGAATTGAATTATTATGACTCACTATAATTTGGCTTTTGATAGATATTAGAGTTTTAATGGCAGATGATGAAAATTTTACAAAAGGAATTATGAATGCATTAGAACAATATAACACAGAACAGTATATCACAGTTACTCTTCCAGATCAAGAAATGCCGGTATTTTGTCATTACTAATTTTCATCTCATTTTCTAAACAGTTTTCCGCTCAAAAAATAATTAATGCATTATTTTAAGATTAATAATTTTTTATTTATATTAATATTTATAGGTTATTGTATCAAAATATGGACAAATTGAGAATGATAAATTTTTTGATCCAAAATCAAAGAAGATTTTTAAATTGGATCATTTAAATCAAGTAAGATTAAATATATATTATATATGTAAAGGATAGAATAATATTTATTGGTTATTAATATATTTTTATTTCATTATAATTATTAGACAGTAACCGAGGTTGAATCTCATGAATTTGATGAGGCCGCTGAGCCATTAAGGTATCTTAATATTCAATAAATAAAATCAATTTGCTAAAATTGAAATTATAAATGGAATTATCAGCAATCGAATTATTGAATTAGGTTGGAGATAGAAACTGCTGCTACTAACTACGTGAAGGATCATTATCCTAATGGCGTATTAACTGTTTATTCTAAAGATAATACAGTGGTAATTACATTGGTTGATAATAAATACAATTCTGCAAATTATTGGTAATTATTATTATTATTTAAATTTTAAAACATAAATAGATATATATGTTACTTATATATTTTTTTCTTAAACATAGGAATGGAAGATGGCAATCTACATGGATTATTTCACCTGAATCTAATGAATTAAAGGGCACTGTCAAAGTTAATGTTCATTACTATGAAGATGGTAATGTTCAATTAAATGCCACAAAAGATTTTGAATTGTCTACTTCAACAAATTCAGATGTACGTATATATATTTTGTATATATAAATAGATTGTGCGCATATTGTAATAATTTGATGCTTTAGTTTATATGTCATATTATATTTTATATTTATTTCATATGCATGTATATATATTCTCTTAGGATTTAAATGCAAAGGCTGAAGCGTATATTAAGTTGATTTGTAAAGCTGAGAATGAATATCAGGCATCCTTAAATGAATCTTATGTTGAGTTGTCAGAAAATACATTCAAAGGATTGAGACGTGCATTACCTTTGACTCGTCATAAGCTTGACTGGGATAAGGTATTCAATATTTTATTTACTTTAAAATGGAAAAATAAATATTTATTTACTTAGTAAAATACCTTTTTTTTTTTATATATAGATTTTAAATTATAAAATTGGTCAAGAACTTCAAGAACATGCAAATAAATCTTATGGTCAAGAGCCTCAAAAGGATGAGAATCAATCATAATAAAAATGAAATCATTTGCATTATTTAACCTCTGTTTACTTATAATTTCCATTTATTTAGTTAAATCTACCCTAAAGATATTTTATTTAATTATTTATATTAATATTAATATTAATATTTAATTTTTTTTTTTAATTAAAAATTTAATAAACTGAGCATTAAGGAAAAACACGTTTATTATGAGCCTTTTTATTTTCTTCGGCTTCTTCACTTTTCATAAATTCTTTAATGAACAATTCCTCTTCAACTGAAGACACATTGATTGGTGGACTGGAAGTAAACAGATCAGGTCTTTTTGCCTTAGCTCTTCTGATTGTTAGAAAAGCAACCAGTCCAAGTTCCAAGCGTTAACTAATAAAATACATAATGAAACAAAAAACATTATAAAAATTTCCACTTACACATTAAGATGCAATTTTACGACCAGCGATCACATATGCTACTCCATTCTTATAGTTATTTGTAATATCATATTGGTTATTAATTAATAATCATATTATAGATATTTTACAAATTGTAAAAAATAATTTAATTGACGATCCGTGAATAAATCGGAGGAAAATTGACACAAAAATGACCAATTGAGTACCTTTGCATGAAAAATAACTCAGAAAACATATTAATATATTTTATTTTACCTTTACTTAAGTAAAGAAAAAAGTTTACTCTTTAGCACTCGTGGATTGTTGGAAATTTTTATATATATAGAAAATTTGTATTTTTATGTGTAACGTTCATTTTTTACCAAGAGAAAATAATAGCATGTGATCTGCAAATCTATAAATGCTATATATGACACGCACTATACAAATGTTTGAAATTTTTTTTTTTTAAATTATAGTCTTTATTAATCAATGCATAATATAATTAAAACAATTTTATAGAAATAGTGAATTATGCCAGTGAATAGCTTTGATTTGTGATTTTGAATTATTAAAGATGACTTTAAACATGATGTATTATAATTCTAATTCATTAATTAATAGATAAAGAAGTTCTTAAATTTCGATAAATAATATGATTTGATTTTATAGTATATATATATATATATATAATTAGAAATAAGACTTTTGAAGTGTAGCGGAAATATACTATAACCGCCAGCAGATTTTTGATTATTTCGCCGCAGAAAATCATCCTGTCAGCGATTGATAACTTTTGTCGTTTAGGTGAGGCTTGTTTACTTTAAATTTATTTGCCCCTTGATCTGCATGACACTTCCTTTGACGCTTACGTAATTTTACTTGTAGTAAAATTTCAATTATTTGAAAAAAAAATTGAAATTTTCTTTGTTGTTAAAGATTAAGCCATTTCTTTGATTTTTCTTGATTTGGGTCAGGTTGATCAATTCAAATTTTAATAAATTGACGAAATTTTTTTTTTTTCAATCATCACTCCATGTCAAATTTATCATCATCACACAGCAAATAAAAGTGATTTGCTAATGAATTTTTGAATGATGATGATGGCTCTCCTCTCCTTCACTTATTTTAAGCAATTCTTTTGCTAACTAATAATAACTTTGAATAAATGTTGGTAAGTAAACTGTCATTGTTTTTTTGGTGGACTCTTTTTATAAATCATGTTTTTATCATAAAATTTACCATAATAGCAATATTAATGGTGGTGACAGTAGTCATAAGAGGAATAATAATAATAATTGTCATGCTATATTATATGGTTATGATATGGTTAGCATTTTATATAATATTTATATGTTTAAAACATGTTAATACATAAATAAATATATAGATTGACACAAGTATTTTCTTTAGTAGTAGGAGAGAGAGAGATGGGATATTTCTCTTAATAACAACAACAAGATAAAAGCGAAGATTCAAACGAAAAAACCAAAATGAAAAAACGAGAAGATTGTAAAGCGGATGGTGGTTTGACGAACCCGGCACTATCATACGCTTCGGTGACTACACTACTAACGCCGGGGTGGCCAGGTCGATTTTTTTTATTCTCGTGATTTTTGTTCCTTTATAGAGAGAGATAGATAGATTAATGATATTTTATTGAAATCTTTTAAAAGAAAATAATTAATTAGTAGTTTTATCTATTGTAATTATTTTATTCGATTCTTGCTTGAATGAAAATGATAATTTTTCTTATCATTTGAAAAAAGTCTTATTAGAAATAGAGAGAACATAAGCTTACAAAAAAACCTTTATAGGAGATTTACAAAACTGGATAAAGTGGATTGACACACGTTTATTACAGCATAAACTTATTGCACGTAGCATAAGTTTATTATAGCAAAAATTTATTACAGCATAGATAGGTTTGTTACAGCATAAGTTTGTTATAGCATAAGTTTATTATAGCAAAAATTTATTACAGCATAGATAGGTTTGTTACAGCATAGGTTTATTATAGCAAACAACTAAATAATCTTTTTTGAATATTAAAAAATACATATGAAGATGAATAATTATCTGAAGTTTACCTTTTGTTCGTTGTGATCGTTGACGATTACCTTGCCAAAAGTAACCGTAGTTGAAATATCGTCCAAACATTTTAATATTTAATATAAATTAAGATTTTGACTTTTTCCATTTAAACAAATTAAAAGTTCAAACTTTTTGAATTGTTTCTTGCCAGTCATGTTTCACCCAATGTAATCTAAATAACAAAATATTTTTCAGTAAAACCAAATCCGTTGGGATCTCTTCAATATCATCCAATCGTCAACAATCGTCCGTTCCATGCTAGTAGTATATTTAGGATACTACTTACCAATACATTTTATGGAAGATTGAATCATTCCAACATGATCATAAACAACCAACATCTATACCATGACCATTTGTAATTTATTCTGCTCCATATTTCCTTGCTATCTCTAATTGCTCTCCTGACCCACAACAAGCAATTACTTTTGCTCCTAATACCTAATATATAAATTATTATTATTATCGTTGTTGTTATTATTATTATTCTTCTTCTTCGTCTTTTCCATTTGTACAGAAACTATATCAACGCCTCCAGCTGCTGCATTAATTAGATACCATTCATCTATTATTAATCAATTAAATTCATAAATTCATTTCCTCCAAAGTTTTGTTTATTTTTTTTAATTCCTCTAATAACTAAACTAGAATAAAACAAATAGACCAACAGCTTCTTCAAAATTCATATCATAATCATTAGATATTAAATGAACTTTTCACATTGAGCGGCAATTGGATTCTAAACTGTTACCAAAACTTGATTTCCTGCTTTTCACATTTTGAATGTGTTTTAACAACAATTCCTGAAAAGTAGCCATTGTGTTGCACAGCGTCCAACCCACCATATTAGCATGGCATTCGTATAGGGAATCAATACAATCTTATTGAATGATCTTGAATATTGCACTTATATGTGAAACTCAATGCATCATGATATATGTAGTATCAGCAATTTTTTTCACTTTATACATGAATATCTTTTGATGGCAAGATAAATGCTCGCTAAATTGATCTAAAATTCCGCAGAAAGATGAATAATTACAATGTGATTAAGAGCAAATTGATTTTCGATTGAATGTTTAATCGCGAACGTTTTCCAATTGAAGATAAAGGATTTTTGGTCAATTACGTGAGATGAAAACCTAACAAAGTTAACGAATGCTGTTATAATAAGTGCTGCTTAGTTGTATGAAATTACAAATCTAAAATAAATCTATTTATCTATTATGTCCTAAAAAAATTTTTTTTTTGTTAATTAATTATAATAAATATTGAACTTTTCAATTTATGTAGTGGAACAGAGTTTGAAAAAACGTTTTTTATGTCATACTTCAGTTCGTGTAATTTAATTTTATGAAATGTTTTTTTTTATAAAAAATATATCTTTTTCAACAATCAAATGTATTATAGTATATTATTTGATCATATAATAAATAGTAATAATATTAATAATAACTGCCATTATAAGTTTATTTTTTTTTTAATATAAAGGAGAGGGAAAAATTTATTTAAATAATAATGACTACTCAAGTTATATTATTATATGATAAAAATCAAGTTACTTGTTCAGTTGATGTATCTCAACCTTTACAAACAATCATAAAAACATTATGCTTGGAACAATTTAATATTCAAGAGCCAGCCGCTTTATTTGCTTTAAGATTATTAGATACTGAAGAATTAATTACTGAAGAAGTTAGTGATGTTTAAAATATATATATGATGGATATATATCAGATCAATTCTATTAACCGAAAAATTGATTGATTGATATATATTAGAATCTTAGAAGAAAGATAAAGGAAAATGAGCGATTAAAATTGGTTTCATCACCCTTAATTGAAGCAGTTGAAATATACGAGAAAATGAGTAGTAACGATGAAAAAGGTTTAAAACTCGCTACATTTTCTCTCCAAAAATATGTAAAGGTAATAATATATTTAAAAAAAGTGTTTATATAAATACATCATAAATAATAATAATGATAATAATTAATTAACAATAACAATAATAATAGGAAATGGAATTTGCTGACGAATTCTTAAAACGTGGTGGATTAAAGTTATTGATAGAAACAATAAATACATCAAGTGGGAATACATTAGCATATGCATTAACATCAATGCAAAATCTTATGGAACATGATCATGGTTGGGATAATTTAGATTCTGATTTTATAAATAGGGTTTGTAATAATCTAATTATATGTGTGTGTATTTGTGCACAATATTAATAATAATATTAATTATTTCTTTCTTTTTTGAATTAAAATTTTTTCTCTTATATAATAACAATAGATTATTAAAATATTGGTAAAACAAACACTTGTTAATATTTGTAGACCTGCAACAGCTATTATTATTAAATTAGTAACAGCAGATAAAAATTCGATAACATCAATTAAATCATACGGATTTGATGTTTTATATGATGCTATGATCCATCAACCAAACTTCCTGCCAACATTAGTACAACGTTTTGCATCCGCTGATTATGTTTTATGTATAAATAGTTTATGTTTGATCAATGCTTTAATGAGGCATGCTACAGATCAATATTGGGAATCTTTTATGAATATGTTGGATAAATTAAACGTTAGAAAAGCTGTTGCTGTAAGCAAATATATATATATATATGGTTTTTTTTTTTTGAAAAAAAAAACCATAATAGTAATTAATTTTGTGTACAATTTATATTAAGATTAATATCAAATTTTAATACTATTATTATCATTATCATTATCATTATCATTATCATTATTAGTTACTTATGACTGGACATCCTAGCGAGGAATTATCAAAACATTTACTAGAATTTCAATCATTATTTGTACGACAAGCATATAGATGGAAGAGAACACAAATGTCTTTACATATTGCTTCTCATAAATCAATGTTAGAAGAAATATGGTCATCTGCAAATTTATCGGAAGAAGGTGGCAAATGGAGGAAAATTGGATTTGCTGTTAGTAGACCATCTTTATCCATTATTATTATTATTATTGCAATACCAATATTACCGTTGTGATATTAAATGATCATGAATTAATTGTAAATTGTTTAATAGACTGAAGCACCAAAATGGGAGATACAACGTGTTGGATATTTAGGTCTTGAAAATATGCATGATTTTGTTAAAAAAGATAAAGAATATTATCAAAAGGTTAATATATATATATATATATATATAACGTAATATCAACATGATCACTAATTATTTTATTTTTCAATTAAAATACATATATATAAATAGATAATATTAGAACAAATCAATAGACCAGCAGAACGTCGTTGCCCATTTGCTAAAACTTCGATTGAAGCAACAGAATTGTTGTGTGATTATTGGGATATTAGCACCGGATGTAAGAAATAAATTATTATTATTATTATTATTATTATTATTATAACCAGTTTCTTTATAAATCTCATCCAATAATATTGATTAATTATTAATTATAATAATATATAAATAATAATAATTAGATACGACTTCAACATCATTTCAACCCTTGTTATTATCATTTGGCAAAATTCATTATATTACTATTAAAGCATTTTTTAGATTATGGAATGAAATGGAGGCGACATCCGATGATTTCCCTAAAGTATCAGCTCTTGTTCGTAGTCAACTTAAATTTGCTCTTAAGGATGAAGTTACCAAACAACTTTATGAATTTGAAAAGGATATGTTAGAAGTTGAATATAAAGTTATCAGAGATAGACAATTAAAAGAATTGGAACTTGGTGATGACTTGTTAAGTAAAACTCCTGTCAGGTACTTGATTAATTTAATTATAGATATATATCATAAATGTTGACAATATTTATTAATATTAAAAAATTTGTTGTGTATTATAAAATAATCACTGTTGTTATTGTTTAGAAATCTTCGTAGTAAATTGTATACAGAATCATATGAATTTGTTAAACAACAAAGAATTAAATGTTTATTACACGGAGATTGGTTTCCAGTTATTACATCATCATCATCGTCAAATCAACCCTCATCATCATCCTCCTCAAATCAAACACAAAATAATAGCGGTAATCGTAGGTCTTTGTCTAGTAAAAAATGGAGATTCTATAGACTTAGTCCAAACGCTAAATTTTTACATTACTGCGATTTTACTGAAAAATCTTACATTAGAGAAGGTATAGAAGATTTACCAGAAAGAAGTAAGTGTAAATTGTTTTTTTGGTGGGAGGAAACAAAAATGTTTTAAAAAATATTTATTTAATTTATTTATTTATTTCTAACTGATATACTCCATCCATCACGTCACATTCTATTTTATCTAAACAGTTGATTTATCATTAGTAACAGATGTGATGACAGGCACAACATCACAATTATCGAATCAAACATTATCATCAATCAAATATAATATTAATAACAACAGTAATGGTAGTAATAATAATAACATTCCTACTAATAACGCTAATAGTAATAATAATTTTAGTAATAATAATAATAATAATAATAATAATAATAATAATAATAATAATAATAATAATAATAATAATAATAATAATTTATCATCACCGATATTGCAACAAGATTTAAAATTTTCATTAATGTCAGGACCTGATACAACATTAGCAGATTTTTTAGCTGTAGATATGGTACAATTTTCCGAGTGGACAGATGGGTTTAATATGTTATTTGATAAAAATATTGGATGTAAAGATACAGCTGAATTTATACAAGTATTGACTGAAATAGGTGTTAAAGTGAAATTACTAGATTTAAGTGGTGAAAGGGTTGAAATACCTCAAAGCGTTGAAGTTCCTGACGAATTACCAATCATTGATAAAAATGGAAGTGGATTCTATTATGACGATCCATTTGCTTAATATTATTTATTTGGAATGATAGATAACATCACTCACTATTTCTATTTAATTTTTAATATTTAGACAGATAATTTATTTAATTTATTAATAGATTTTATTTATTTATATATACACATATAATAATAAATTAATATAATACACAATATACAATAAAAATTTCTACTGAGCAATATTGTTAAGAGAATAAAAAAAAAAACCTGATAAAAACTTGATTTTGCTTAAAAATCTTAAAAACGCGTATAAAATAGTGATTTGTAAAATAGTATAAATAAATATATAAAACTTTTTTATGATAAATAATGATGAATTGTTAGGACTTTTAAAAAAATCTTTTTCTTTCTTGAATTATTTCACAAAAAATAATGATTTTTTATAATTTTAATTTTATTATATTATTATTATTATTTGTTAGTAAAAATGTAAAATGTGATAGTAATATAACAGATCTGTTAGCGAAACCAGTTAGATTTACAGGAGTAGTACTAACAATTGTGCTATCAGCTTTGACGTTATCTGGTGGATTAATTATTTTAATTAGAATAAGTAAAATAAAAGCCGGGAGCAAAGGGACCTCTTTGGGCTTTGGAATTAAATTACCTTTTTATTTTTCTTCAATCAGTTTGTATTGATCTCGTTCTTTTTTATTATTATTATTATTAATAAATAAATTAACGAATAAAACGATTAACAATTGACCAATAAAATAATTGATTAGATTGTGCGCTAGCAATTATTCAAATATTAAACGCGGCAAGTATAAATATAAATATAAATAATATTCTTATCGTCATCATCATCATTATTTACTTTTCCTTCTCTAATATAATATAATATATAGGTCACTAATGGATTTTATGTGGAATTATGTGCCATATCATATTTCTTTACAACAGTAATATTAGGATTACATTTATTTATTGGAGTAACTGTTGTAATCATGACGAATATTGACCTTAATAAAAAAGCTTATTCAACTTGGGGTTATAAAGATTATCAATTATGGCTATTGATTTTATTTATTGCACTTCCATCCGTTGCATTTGCTTATGCTGGTTTAAGCTATTATGGTGGAACTGAATGGTAAAAAAAAAAAAAAATACATTTTTACATATGTACGACAACATGAAATTTCTTCTAAATTATTATTTTTTAATTTTTTTTTAGGTGTATTTATCCTTATCGATATGATTGGATGCCTATTACAAACATCATCATTATAACAATCATAACAATTGTTCTTTTTACAACAATGGTTTATTATATAAAACTTTTAAATAAATTAAAAAAATTGAAAAAACCACAGGCTGACTACATTTCAATAAGTGCTATTGATGAATCTAAGCAAGCGTTCGATAGACGCAATGTTAGAAAAATATTATCTTACATCACAGTCTATCTCTTACAATGGGTATTATCGAAAAATTTTTTTTTATAAAATGGGTTTTTTAATTATTATTATAATTATATTTGCTAAAAATAAATTCTTCTTATTGTACGTAAAAATATATATATAGGCCACAACATTGATCTATTTGATAACCCAATTAATCGTAATTATTCATATATTAATTTCCTGGGGTCTTGTAGTTATATAAATATATTAATTACTTTTCATTATTATTGTTGTTGTTAGAATTTTAATAATAGTAATGTTTACGACTGGCTGAGATTCATTTTAATAGCAGGCATATATCTATAAAAAAATTTTTTTTTTGTAAAATTCCTAAAATTTAATTAATATTAATTTTAATTTTAATTTATTTAGCAATTTTTATTGGATCAATCGGTAATATAATTCAATTTCTTAGAATTGAACGTTGGAGATATAGATCTGGATATAAAACTACAATTAATCGACAATCATCTCCTCTTCCTACTACTGTTACTTCTCCGTAAAGATGTTATATATTATATTACTATACATATATATTAATAACATGTAAAATATGTACTATAAATATATATTTATATTTTTTGTTTGTTTTATAAGCCACGGTATCTGAAAAAAGATTTATTTCTCGATATTGTAAAATTTTTCACTCGTAACATAAAAAAATAAAAATTTTACATAGCCGTAAATTATTGTTACATAGCCACCACCGCCCATGTTTTTGTGTATTTAATCAATTTAATCATCAAAATATTTAAATGGGTTTTTTTCGATCTAGTCTTAATAGTTAGGGGGGGGGGGTTGAATTGTTAATGTGTGTGTAAGAATAAATTAACGTCTAAAACAAAAGGTTAATTGCCGATTTATGCATGAATGAATCGGGGCACGTCCCAAAAAAGTCTTAAATATCACATTACAGTCTTTTAGACGCAACACAAAAAAGTATAATACAACTTTTTCTGTAAAGGTTGACAATTAACAATTTTAATTGGTTATCTTATCCAAATCTGCGCTTCTTCTATAGTAAAGTCTTAAATATCACGCGGAGCAGCACTCTAATAAATTTTTTTTATTTATTTATCATCTATGTATGACACAAATGGCTTTAAATTGTAGATCATTTTTGGGACCGATATTATTGTGATTATTGTGATCTCACAAAAATCGACCGATAATTTTATAAGATCAATGTTACATACAATAATCACAATAATATCGGTCTTTTTTTACTTGTAGCTCCGATTGATAGACGAGTACTTTAAAACATTTTGATGCGTAGATACCACCATCCTTGCTCTTTTAAATTCTGAAACTCATAGAATTACATGCAAATTAAATATGTGCAGATACATACATAATTAATAATAAATGAGAACGAAAATTCATTATTTTCTGAAACTAATACTAAAAGCCCTTGGTCTGTTATTTGTTGAAAAATATATAAATGATTTTTTGTTCTTGACGTGGATTTTATTTCCTTGCGCGTTTTTTTCAATTGTTCGATCAACCAACCAATCAATCAATCACTATTCCCATCATTCTGCCTATATTCCTTACACAATAAATCAAACCTCGAAAGAATGGTAAAGCAACTGACAGACGAAGATGTAACATCAAATTTTGAACTGTTCGAACAAAACGGATTCTTATTGACACATTCATTATATTGGATGACTATTTCTATACTTCAAATTGATTTACTTTGCACAGTCTATGTAATTTATCGAACATATAAAAAATGGAAATCGTCAAATAATGGCTTATCAATGGCCTACAGAATACCCTTTTATATCGCTATTATAGGTATTAATACTGATATTTATTTGATATTATTTCGTGTATATATGCATATCATTATTAAATACTTTTTATCTCCTTCGCGCTTCTCCCAAAGAAATTTTTATTTATGTATTTCAAACTACAAATTTGGTAGGAATTAGAAATTAATCTATTTAAGTTACTTTAAAAAATAAATTTTAACACGATATTTATATTTGATAATATTACATATTAGATTCATCCAGCTATCTTTATCGAAAACTGGCCTGAACCCTATTGTTCAATTATTTCAGGAGGATTCTTTTTTGTAACTGTAACGAATATTTTTATGGTTGGAGTCATAGCATTAATGAGCTGGCTTGTTGGTAAGAATATTTTATATATAATATTTTATATTTTATATTTTATACTTTATACTTAATGTTTATCTTTAATGATTAGTATGCGTAGGAATTCAACAACCTAATTATGGAAAATTTGATTATAGATTATTTATTGTGCCAATTGGTTCAGCAATATGTTCAACCATTGTCGCTCGCCCAACTTTTAGAAGCGATGAATTTTGGTGCTATACGAGCGATGAATTTACAACTATACCAAAACTTTTATTGGCTATTGATTTTATCGTATTAGTTTTAACATTATTTTGTTATGTGAGTATCATCGTTAGAATAAATTCAGCAGAACTCAATAACACAAATCGTTCATTTTTGATCGCATCAAGAAAAATCGTTGGATATTTAACGATGTACATTATTCAATGGGTAATTATTTAAAAAAACTTTGGAAAATTTACCTGGAAATGTTAAATCTTTAAATCTAATTCTTTTAATTCTATGTAGACACCTTTGATGTCTTATGTAATAGCTGATATTTTAGATGTAAGTTGTGTAAATTTCTCTAACCTGATCTTTTTTCTTTATAATCTAATTATTAATCGTGATTAAAATTGTTTGACTTAATTTAGCAAGAGTATGCTTCAGTATTTTTTATATCTATAAACTTCATCGCTTTTGGAGGAATATTAAATATGATTCAATATGTTATAAATGAAGGCTGGGTAAATGAAAATAAATCTGGTCCTTCTTCGTTATCATCATCAACTGAATTAACAGTCTCTAATGATAATAATATTATTATTAGAGTTCACGTTCAGAATCAGAATAATGATACTATTGTTGCTGATGACCTATCAAGTATTGATAATAAGAATAAGTAGCTTAACAAAAAAAACTTTTATTATTTGTATGGAAAAAATTTTATACGTAAAATTTTTTTGACGACAATAATAAAAGACAAATATGAAAATTTTGTATGCTTAGTTAAAAAAAGAAAGGAACGCGTGAATAATCAACGTATCACACAATGATTAATTTTTTATGATCAATTGTGATATACCAATCAAAATTTTTTACTCGGCCTTTCAAATACAACTTTAAAGCTGAATAAGGAAATATTGAGTGCCTATCTGAAAAAAAAATAGTGGTAATATTTGATATCTTTTGACTAGTTCTATCAATTGTCAAGATAATTTTAAAAAAATTAAATTACTGGTTCCAGGTTATTTGCTTTTAAAAATCACATGTTTTTGTATGTTATATAAAAATTTCCAAATTAGGTTGTCAATTCTATTTTTTTTTTAGATAAACATTCAATATTTCCCTATTTAGCTTTATGGGTTAAAATTATTGCGAGTAAAATATCAATATATTGAAAATTTTATAGTAATGAAATATTAGTAATATCATGCATGGAATTTTCTATTAGCTTCGATTAGCAATTGATTTTCTATAAAGCCAAACATTTAATTAATTGTATAAATTTTAAAATTTTTTTGATCAGAGCTCTTTTTATTGATAAAGAACAAAATGAGCAAGATTTGAAGTATCGTTATTGGGAAAATCCGCGTCACTTTTCTAAGTAGTGCTTTTTTCCAATTTTACAATACTCTTCATATATAAATTGTTGAAAGTTTTTTCAAGTAACAACTAGAGGAATTACTGTTATAGAGATTATATTATTTTTGTAGAAGATAATTGTTAAGATAATTATTTATATGGAAAATATTACATTCAAGTTCTTTTCATAAGAAAAATATCAATTAGACCCGCGTGATTTACATTTGACAAATCTTGCCATTAATGTCAAATTAATGCTAACCACAAATAATAATAATAATAGTCTTCCCTATTCTATTGGTAAACAATTTATTATTTATAAAGTAGAGAGACTTAATTGAATTTATTATACCAGCAATTGATTAAACCGATGGCCAAACTAATGCCACTAATGTTAAATGACAATCAACCATATAAATTAATAAAACAAGTATGAAATGATATTTTATAGAAGTTTCCTTGATAATCGCAGGAAGAGCTGCACACGCACATATATATATATATCATTTTTATTTCGAATTAGAAACAGTAAATTTTTATTGAAATGATAATTTACAATTTTAATAATAAAAATTTTTTTTTAAATTTTATTATTATATTATATTTATTAATTTGAATTATCAAGAACGGATAATTATACCAACTATCATTAAAATGATAATAATAATAATAATAATAATAATAATAATAATAATAATAATAATAACAATCCATTTAATAATTCGGATCGATTATTATAACTGCGTAACCACATGATAATCCACATAATAAAATCTGGTATCACCAAAGAGTTGAATAAAATTAACTTTTATTCCGATGCGATTTTTTTTTTTTTTTGAGCTGGCTAGCTAGTTAATCAATTAACCAATTAACCAACTATTTAGTTAATTAGCTATTATACTAATTGAATATGTGTGATGCCGATCCATCCATAAAAGAACTTTCAACCTAAAAATTCCACCAAATGTGGACATTTTCCGGTAAGCTTATCCTATTTCCTCTGACTGAATAAGATAATAATAACACTACGGTGCAGATCGTATATAATCAATTAATTAATTGCTTATAATAACAATTGGTCAGCTTCAAAATACTAAGCAAAAAAATTTATATCATTTTAAAAAATTTAACCGATAATTTTATTGTTAATGACTCAAACTTCAAAACTTATCGGCTAATTTTTTATTTTTTCTTAATTAAAATTGGCAGAGCCTTAATATTCTGAAGATTGTAAGAAAATTGGGACTAAATAAATTTTGTGTAACAAAATTTATTTTCATGGAATATTTTTTTACAACATGTATTGATTTATCTGTATTATTTATTCCTTTTTTTTTAAATTAATAATAAAAGTTCTTTACAATAAAAACACATGACAGCCGGATCAAGTTAAACATATGTACTTGTTTTTGACTCAAAGCATCGTTTTATCAAACATTCGTTTTATTAGTAGTATTTGATAAAATGAAGTTAATATATATATTTAAAAAAAATACAGTTTAAAAGTTATATATATCAAAATTTATATATTCGTCTATACTACGTTGACGTGCTAGTGAACTTTTTTATATAATAAAATGCTACTTTCAACGAATTTTAAAACGAGTAGCAAGGTCTTTATTCGTAGGAGTAGGTTTCGATTGTTTTAGAACACATATTTCTCTTTTTCTTTTATTATCAATGTATCTTTCATTTTAACATTTTTTAATGTGGAAGCAACACGTAAATCATTTATAAAATTTACAAAATAAAGTGAAGTTTCTTTCGATAAACCGATATTATTCGTCTTGTCAAGCTATAATTTATTATATGTGGAACCATATGCTATAATATTCTTAAACATTAAAGTGAAACAATCGTCTTATTGAGTTAATTTTTATCATAAATGAATCCGTTATAACAAAAATTCATCAAAAGAAAATCATTACCAAATTTGGTCACGTAATTCAAAATATTGTGACACGAAAATTATTATCGCACAACTCTAAAGTTTAAAAAATCCGAAACAACTTTTTCTTTAAAGTTATACGTATTTTAAATGTTTAACTTTTGAGTATAGATGATCCGCACTGTATATTAATATGAGGCAAATTTCGACGGAAAATTCGCTAATTTCAGTAATTATCATCGGTTAAATTTCTCTAGACGAGGTAAGATAGGTCATATCCTATTTCGTACAATTTTTCCTTTCCGCATGTGCTGTAAAATTCGACCACAAACTATATAGTACAAGCTCATAAATATTAGTGATTGATAGTAAGTAGTAGAAACAATAAATATATATATATATACGTTTTATTAAATGGTGGTGGTAGAAAATATGATTTTGACCAAACGAAAAAATATATATATCAAAATATAATAATATTCAACACTTATTAATGAAATTTAAAGTTTGAGAATCTGATAACTAAAATCAACTCATAACTTGAGAATGTTGTAACTGATGTGACAATGAATTTTTCCTTGGTATATGTACTGGAAATTAATTTTGCTAATTCTGATGAAATATATGATTCAAGCAGAACCAAGTATGATGCATATAACAATCAGTTTTTGATGCTAATATGTTCAAATTTAGTAGAGATAGATGTAAAAATATGAGGACTTATCAAAATTCCAGTAAACAAGATCGTGTAACTCATCCTAATTTTTAAATTTTTGAAAATTGGAACAATGCTAATTGACAATTGGAAACAAGAACAACGTCGACAAACAAATTAAACATCCAATACTTCATCATTAAATAACGTTACAAATGTTCAAGGATCTAAATGGTAAATAAGAACAAGGTTTAAAGGATTAAATGTAAATCAAATACCTCCCCATACATAAGTTTGCTATGAATTATAAAATATTTTAAAAAAACCATTTTAATGCATTATTTTCTTAACAGTGCCAGGACTAGTACTGCAAACATTTCTGTTTCGCATCCAGTTGTTATTGTTTTGTCCTAGTTAATAGAAAAACTTATTTGGAAAAAATCATTGCAATGTATAAAAAAGGTTCAAATTTGCATTCTTATGTTGACTCCAGTAGATAAATAGATACACTTCAACCAGAATTTGGCACCAATTACAAAATAACATATTTACTACATTCACTGATCAAGGATATCAAAATTTTACTCATTTAACTCAAAGCAAATTGTTTGATATGTTATGGGCAAACACATTGATTTTCAAATAAATATTCATTCAGAAATTGGAATTGGTATAGTTTTAACTAATCAAAACTTTAATTGAATGTATTAATTGATTAGTAATGTAAATAAAAGATTAATAATCATTAATAATCATTAATAATCATTAATAAAAAATTAATAAGCATGGATAAAAAATTAATATAAATAAACAAATAAAAATACAATTTTTTTAATTTTTTCATATAAAATCTAGTATTCAAAGAATAAATTGTATTGTAATCCAAATAATAAAATTTATCAACTGGTTGTTTAAACTGTTTTTAGAAAATATTCTTAGCGATCAGAAACATCTATATTATAATTATAATTGATTGGTATCCCACCTAAACTACATAAATCTTTCCAGCTATTGTATTTGGGAATTTAATTCAAATTATTTTCTCAATCATTCATATATATTCATTCACTAATTATAGGTTTACTCAGAGACGTAAGGAAATTCTCAATGATTCATTATTCCCAATTCTATTTATAGATACGGGAAAATTCGAATTTATTTTCTAATAATTCATTGTTCATTCATATATATATATTCATTCATTAACTCTATTTATTACGGTTTCAATAACATCAGATCCTGCCATTTATTATTGTATGAAATTTATGTATGTATGAATTAAGATATTTATTTAAGATTTTGAGATTAAATAAAAATATACTCTGATGGATGACAGGTTAATTACGTTTTAACTATTACTATCAAATAACAATATGATTATTTTTGATACAACAGGACTATTCTATTAGCTGTATAATAATGGTTTAGGTTTCTGAAATATCGAGATTAGAAATTACATATTTGGTAAAGATTATCTAGTATTGTTGTATAGTAAATAGTAGTAATAGGCACAACCGCAGCATATTTTAAAATTTTATTGGTGGTTCTGCTGCCAATGTTGCACTTGGATAATTAATTATATATACAATATTTTGGCCTCAAATTCGTTTAATACTACATAATCAAGATGGGGGTTTTTTTATCAAAAAAGCAATAGTTCATTAATAATTATTTATAATCAAGCAATTGGTTACAGCTTTACCTGGTTTTTTTTCAATGGCAATGATTCGTTATAAAGCTGGACACATTTACACTAAAACAAATGGCAATATTTGTCTCATAAAAAAAAAATAAATAAATAATCATTATTTAAATAGAATAAACAGAAATTTATATTTGCACATTTGACATCCAAATTTCCAAATAAAAAAAAATTCAAAAGATATGACAACTGTGAGAAGTTGTTACTTCTATATAATATTACTGTTAAATATGATTAATCTATAATTTCATTTTGATATTTAATAGTATCCAAATAAATAAATAAAATATTAATAATACATAATAAAAATAATAATGTCAAGATTTAACTTTTCATCTGGCACAGTTAATTCAATTTGTTGAGAATCTAAAAAATATTTAACATAAGAATGGATATTATAAGTTTTAAAAATGAAAACAATCAATGATTAAATGTTAATAATACCAATAATTGTCACTTTATTGGAATTCACAGATTTATAAATTTTAATAATTTGCTGGTATAAACAGTATTTGAATGAATTGTTGCAGTAATTGTCAAAGGATCAAAATTTTTTTTCATCCATTTCATAAAACATTTTTCCAATTGATTCCAATTTATCCTTCTGTTCTTCTGAAGGATCAGTGAACCTTGAGATCACTAGAATTATAACAATTGAAATTTGAATTATTACCAAAATAATATATTAGTTGTGAAGACTTGATATGTGCATATAAGTTTCCATCCAATCCACATTTTTGTGAAATAATCCTTCTATAATTCTAATAAATGTAATGACAGAAATATAAGATAAAATTTCAATCGACCATAAGCATGTCTACAGTACACACTCTCTATAACGGCCTTTTCTATAACGGTCTACACTCTACGACGAACTGAGACTATATAAAAACCTTATTCTATAACGGTCTTCTTAATTAAATTTCCTATAGTATATAACGGCCTATCAATATGTTTTATACAGTAACGGTCGACGATCATATTAGAAAATTTTTCCGTACCACATTAAATTAATTAGTTACGAAATGCACTATGATCGCGATTATTACATATGTAAACCCGATAAGCCGGGTTTGACCTAACTCGGCCAAAAAGTTTCGCCCTTTTTTTTTACTATTTAAAAAAATTCGATAAGTTGGTCGATCTATATAAAGTCGCGATAAGCGCTAAGTCGGTCAATCATTTAGCCCAGTATAATTAAATGAATCACGACAAGCCGGTCTCATGTTAGGTTGTACTATGGGACTATGTAGACCAAAACTAATTAATATATATAAATTTATTAATACACAGTGAATCTCGATTTAGCGGATAGTTTGGGCAATTAGGGAAAATTTTCCAAAAATCCATTATACCGAGATATCCGCTATACCGAGAAGGTTTTATTAAGGTTTATTATGGAACATTTATCCGTAAAACCGAGATTTTTAATTGGTATTCGTTAAATCGAGATGCGCTGTGTAAAACTTTTTTTCAAACAAATATAAAAATAAAAATTGCATCTTCTCCTTCAAAAAAAAAAAGATACAAGTATGAAATTAAGGAAAATTGTAATAAATGTGATGCTGAACATGGTGACAGAGAGTTTTTTTTAATTTTATTAGTAAAATCATCCAAAATGTTAAAAATATTGTTAAACTTTGAAACGAATAGGCTCGATAACCAAACAAGTTAGAGTAAAAAAATTTCCGCGGTTTTTTCCCCTGTGATTCAAAGAATATTCTGACAGTTTTTTTAAAAATTATTAGTAAAAAAAGGTTTATTAAAGATGTACGATTTTATTAATAAAAAATTTTTCAATTTTTTTTTTACAATCAATTCCTTTTAAAGAAAACGTAAAGTATTTTTAATAAATACCAAGTTTGAATAAATAAAATGCCGAAGCCAATAAAAGAAAAAGTCCAAAAAAAAAAAAATCAACAGCAATTCGAATGAAAAGACAAAAGGAAACTTCTTTATCCACGGATCTCGCTGTTGGGGAAGAAGCAGCTAAAAAATTAGCACGGTGTTTTTTAATACCTAGAAGAAACTAACCAATATTTTTCACCACCTTTAAATTATATTTTCATGATTATTATTTATTTTATTTTATTGAGCATTTTCTTCAAAAGGAAAAGATTTCGAAGGAAAAAAAAGATCAAAATTTTTTATAATAAAATCGCATAACTTTGAATTCTTATAAATCCTTATCCTACTAATAGTTTTTAAAAAAATTTTCTGTCAGGCTATTCTTTGAATCACAAGAAAAAAACCATGGAAATTTTTTTACTCTAACTTGTTATCGAGCCTTGTGTTTCAAAGTTTAACAGTATTTTTAACATTTTACTAATAAAATTAAAAAAACTCTCTGTTACCATGTGGATCATTACATTTGTTATAGTTTCTCTTAATTTTATAGTTGTATATTTTTTTTTTTTGAAGGAGAAGATGCAATTTTTATTTTTATATTTGTTTGAAAAAAGTCTATTAGTATTAGTAAATTTTATATATATATTTTTTTTAAAAAAATAAATGTGCACACAGTCCGTGTAACGTGATACGCCCTGATTGAAATTTAAACACTACTCATGTGATATTTTTCCCACATTTTTGTATCACTTGAGAGTGAAAGAACTTGGAGGTTATCCATTTCCGCTAATTCCTGTTAAACCCCATTTGATTGACTTGACTAGCAAAGGTTCACCCATGCTGTCCACTATATATTGGTATGCTATCAATTATATTTTCATCACAATCCTCTGTCCATTTTCCTTTAGTCAAGATTGTTCTAATCAACAAAGTATCACTGACATAATTGAAATTGTTGTGCTAGTCTGGTTCTGTTTGTGTCATTAAAGTGGAAATTGCGAATGGCAAAATGAAAATTAATGGAAATTTAAAATTTAAACAAAAATTTTTTTGATTACAGTTTTAAAAGCAAATCATTTATAGTTGAACAATTCTTGACTTGAATTTCCTAAAAAAAAGTCTAAATGAAATCACTGTTGTTGTCATTGTCATTATTAAAGTATCATGAAACAAAATTCAATTATAACGTTTATTGTTTTGTTTGACTTTTAAAAATATTTATTTTGATATTCTTAATATTTTTACTCTTGATCATATATTTCAGACAGACTACACAATGATTCTTTTATCTCCAAAAATTCATCAAAATCAATTCCTTTATCACCTTCTTGATATTCTTTTAAATTTTTAAAATCAAGTTTATTTAAAAACTCTTTATATTGATCAAGAAATAACTTTGGTTTGTTAGAAATTGTAAAGTGAGTTAACATTGGAATCTCTTTAACAGTTGGTTTATTCTCATTTGTAGTGGAAGGTTTTTGATTTACAATTAAATTTGGATTTTTTGTAGAGTCAATAAATCCGTCAATTGTTAAATGATTATTATTAAAATACTTGGGAAATGAATTTGGTATTGGATAGGCAATGCTTGTTGAAAATTTGAAATTACTTGGACATTTGATTGATTCGAAACTTTGAAATATTTCATTGATTATATCATTAGAAAATAATTTAGGTTTGTTGGATTCTGTATGAAATATCTCAGGTATTCCTCTTAGTATAATTGATTGTGAGTATAACTTTGACATATTATCCTATAAAATTTGTTTGCTCACGTGAATTTGAAATAATAGTAATAGTAATAATAATAGATTTTAAAAAAAATTGTATTTTTACCTTTTTCTTAACTTGACCTTCAAAAAAATTGTGCATAATATTGTTGTTAGGTAATAATGATTTTGTATTTATGTCACCAAAAACACTAATAGGTAAAGGAAATATAGCACCAAGACTTCCTATTTTAGTATTTCTAAGCCAATTCATTTTATCTATGAAGGAATCCATTGACATAAAATTATTTCGAGTTCTAATTTTTTTTTTTTAAGTTATTAATTATTTAATAAAATATTCATTTTAAAAAATATATCTAAAAAATAAATAAATACCTAAAAGGTAAAATGGTTGATTCTATAACAGCAGACATAATACTACTAGAGTGATATGACAAATCTAACTAGTTAATAATAATCAATAATAGTAAGTTAATATATATATATATGGTATATTATATTATATGATAATATTTTATACTTACATTTGGATGAATAAATTTGTTCCATTCACTATTATTTAATATATTATTAGAAGGTTCATTCATAGGAATAAACATTGATGACATGTCTGTCAATTGTATTAAACTTAAAATCGTATTCAAATTATTTTTAATATAATGACTATGCTAAATAAATTAGAAAATAATAAGTGAATATATAAATATTCTATTCTTAAAAAAAATAAAAAATAAAAATCATTTGTTTAACCTACATTTGAGCTTTTTATTGAAGTTTCATTGATCCCAAAAGTTAAAACAGATTTCTTTGGATATTCTTCAATCAATTGTTCAACAAAACCACAAGAAAATCCACCAAATCCATCATTAATATTTGTGATTATTTGAAATCCCTATAAAATAAAATCATTAAAAAAAATAATAAATTAAAAACATAATTTAAAGAATTTTTTTTAAAAAAAAAATGAATTTACTTGAATTAAATCACATTCTTCAGCAAAAAATCTGAAATTTTCATCAAATGAATTCTCATCTTCCTATATTTTAAGTAAGATAAAACAAATAAATAATATTATCAAAGTTAACAAGATATAGGTTATCATCATCATTAAAATGTACCTTTTGGTGATCTAAATAAGCATTTTTGCCAAAAGAAAAAACATCAAATGGCATGAATTCATCATCATATTGATATTGTGTGACTCGATTTATGCTTTTAGGGTGATAATAAATTTTATTAAAATCTGACCACATCTTAACACTTTCATCCAAATCAAAATACTTTTCTTCAAAATCAATTTCCATCATATTTGGATCTTTTGTAGAATTTATTATTGCCTCCTAATTAATTATATGTATTATATACGAATAAATAAGATAATTTCCAAATATAATTGCTTGATTTATTTATTATTTACCTCTTCAATTTCTAAACTTTGTAAATATTCATTTTTTGCATATGGTGTTTGTTTATAAGTTACATTTTTCCAATCCCTATATAAATCATTTCAAATAAACAAATATATATTTAATCATAAATACACAAATATTTGAATATAATAATAATGGAATACCAAATTTGATTTTGTTGTATTTCTTCTTTATTATCTGAAAGACCCTCCTCATAAAGTTTATTCATTTTTCTGATTGATCCAAATCCACCTTTTGAAGGGAAAATATATAAATGAATAAGATGAATTTTCTATAAATATTTTAGAAAATACCTTTTAAATCATAAACCAATAGTCTTGGCATATAAGTTTCAGTTCCCTGAATCATATTTTACAAACATTAGTTAATAATCCAAGTTTACTCATGATGATATATTATTTTATTACAACCTTTTGAGTAATTCCTGATCTGTAAAGTACATCGTGTAAAATTCCTGGTTCATGAGTATTTTCCAAATCATATGAAAAATAAGAATCCTGTTAAATTCATAAAAATATAAACGTATTTTCTTTTATATATTAAGATTAAAACAACGAAAATTTTATGAATCAAAACCTGTGTATTCCAAAAATGAGTTCCTATAAAATTTGTAAAGTGTCCAAATTGTAATGTCAAAATTTCGTGCATTTTGTGGGAAAGATTTTTATCGTTTGTCGTACATATTATTGATCTACATGATAAAATAATTATAAAATCTTTTCATGTCATTTTATGCAAGAGAACGAAGTTCGTCATCAATCAGACCAATCTCAATTAGGCAGGGTCTACTTACTCGAGATGGTTCTGCAAGTTTTAAATTTGGTAATTATAATATTCATAAGTTTATAAGGAAATTCAATACCATTAATATTTAATGACTTTTTTTTTAGGCGAGTCGTGTGTTATTTGTTCAGTGAATGGTCCAGCAGAAGTAAAAATACGTGACGAAAAATTAGATAAAGCAACAATCGATGTAGTAGTCAGACCTTTGGTTGGTACTCCAGGTACCAAACTTTTTATTTCAAAATAAAAAGATGTAGATTTTTTTTTTATTGGTTTTTTTTACTATAGGTACAAAGGATAAAAAGCATGAATATATTTTACGATCCATTTTTGAAAGCGTCATTCAATCAGGTCTTCATCCAAGAACTTTAATTCAAATCGTATCACAAGTGATGGAAGATGACGGAAGCGTATCCTTTACATCATATTTTTTAACTTATCAATTAATATAAAGGTGATGAAAAATTTTATTTATTTATTACTACCTTGAATCATTTATAATGGATAGATTTTAGCGACTTCAATTAATGCAACTACTTTGGCTTTGATGGATGCAGGAATTCCAATGAAAAATGTAGTGACAGCAGTATCGTGTATTTTAGATAAAAATGATGAGATATTAGTGGATCCTACATTACAAGAAATGGAGGTTGTAAAAAAATAAATTAATATTTCTTGATTGATTACATTTCCTTAATAATATTTCTTTGATATATTCTTTTTTTAAAAATTTTAGAATTTACAATCTGCGCATACTTTTGCGTTTGATAACACGTCTTCAAACTTAATATTTTGTGATTCCTCTGGTATTTATAGTGAAGAGCAGGTAAATTGGAATTTATTCATTGTAACTTATTATTATTATCTATCTATTTTTTTAACTAATATTATATTTTTAATATTTTTATCATAAATAATGAATCTAGTATTTTAATTGTTATGAGCTTTGTCGTGCAGCTTCATTTAAAGTACTTGCTGAAATTCGGGATTCAGTAGCTAAACAGTAATAGTGAAACTGCATATCGGATAAAAATTGGAGAATCTGCATATAATAGTAAATTTGGCTATTTAAATAAATTTTTTCTTATATTTGATCTGGAAATTTGGGATTTATTACACAAGTTACTATCGACATACTAAAACTTGCAAAAAAATATCATCATAAATTCCTAATGTGTTTAATTTTGACCAAAATTTTGATATCATGTCCCCTCAATGGTGCAAATTTAGTGCAAATTTGCACTGAAAATGCAAACCAAAATTTTTTATATTTCAATAAAATGGATATTTTGTGTAAGGAGGGAAATTTCTGTATTTTTAAGGTAAATCCAAATATTGATTTCAGCTCATTAAAAACATGGCCCATGTGAATTTGGAATTCAATAGAAACGGACTATCCGTGTTGTGAAAATGATGTTTCGAGAAAATTAGCATTTCAAGCAATTTACTATTGTTTTTGGAAAGGTAAGTAGGTATTGTTGTGTGTAATGATTGTGTCGGGCCTGTAATAAAGATAATTGAATTATTCAACACAGAAACTAAATTTTCCATTCTTCTTGAACTATTGGAGAAGGTGAGGAATGGTATGGTATTAAATCATTCCAGCATTCCAGCTATTTCAAATTCATTTATGATTTATTTGTAATATCAACAATGATATATGAATATTTCAAATTTTCATCAATCATTGAATCAAAAATAAAAATTGAAAATTATAAAAAATTCCCTATAGAACAATTATGACCACATCCAGTTGGACATTCATTGTTTCGACTAAACCATTGTTTCATATGAGTTAAATGCCCTCCGTGACTACAACCCTGACACCAAGTATAAAGACCTTTAACTGTATTATGACTAAAAAAAAATTTTTTTTTTTTAATGAAAAATGTTTCATGGAATATTAAATTCAATAAATAATAATATTAACCCACCATATTGAACAAGGATTTAATAATTTATGACATTTATCACATGACCAAAATCCATTACTTTTCAAAGAATTATTTAGAATATGTTTATAACAATTATTACATGTAGTATAAATGGTTGTAGATTGCTAATATTAATAAAGACATGTGAGACATTTAATAATTATAATTATAGAAAAAAAAATATCAATAATGATAATTCTAATATTTACTTGATTTAGCATTGAAACTGCTGCGATTGGACAAGAAGAAATGATATCTGTGGCTGTTACCCAAAGTTGAAACCTATGTAATAATTCTAAAATGTATGAAAATTAAAGATAAATTATAAACGGTTCTGATTATAAATAGTGGTTACGTTGATTAAATGATAACGATAAAAACAAACCAATATATGAAAAAAACCATTGTTCTACTCTTTCATTATTAAGCTTGATCCTATCGCCAATCACAAGGATTAAAGTGACACACATCTGCACATCTCCCTATATAACAAATAAAATAAATAAAATTTAAAAATGTAATTTTTATCTTTGGAATAATTAAATAAATGTTCACCTGTTCTGAATAATAATCTAATAATTGTGAAATTATTTGTTCTTGAACTAATGATGGCATTAAACTTGTCTTTATAGTTGGTCCACAAATAAAAGCATTTTCTGATAATTTAGCAGAACTTTTTTGATTACGTAAAGTTTTGTGATTGGTAGATGATTTGTCTTCTTGAACAAATTCATCTTCACTCTCCTCTGATTCAATTGATGAATCATCATCCTAATAATATTAATAGAAAATGATTATAAAATAAATTAACAAATCAATGAAAGCAGAATTTTTATTACGTCTAATGCTCCTGCTCCTCCTTCTGATGTTTTTTCTGTTGGTGTATTATTACTACTACTGTTTTCATTCGCTGAATTATTGGACGCTTTGGAATAAAATCTTGATTTCAAAGGGCCGTGTGAATGAGACTCTTTAGAGTGTTGTTCTTCAGCTCCATTTTGATCTAAATATTCGTTCATTAATATTTAAACTAAATCTAGACAAGCATGTTGTATAAATTATAACTACCATTTTTATTATCATTAATATTATTATCTATTTTTTCATGTAACAATTGAACTATTTTCCAAGTTTGTACTGTTTTAAATTTTTGCGCATCTTGCGCAATCTAAATAAATAAATAAGACGATTAGTATTAAATGTGATTTTTTAACAATAAAAGAATAAAATAGTTTACTTTTGCATTATGTTCACAAGTCTCCCAAATATTTTGATTAGAAATCATATAATTTTCTGCAAGGTATGAAAATGCTTTGTAATCAAATGTTTTAAAAGATGCCATTCCAGTTTTTTGTTGTAATTTGTAGTAACCCTAATATTATCATTGATATTATTATTAAAAAATATATGCAAAACAAATCTGACTAATTAATTAAAATTACCTCATTTGATGAATCTATCGTTCCAGGAGGTATATATTTTTGCGTTTTTTTAATTTGATTCTGTTGCCTAATATTTCTGCTTGCCCACATGAGTATGATTATTTATTATATTAGCTTTTTTTATATTTCAATGGTGAAAAAAAAAAAATCTAATAAATTCTTACTGATCATCAATTATATCATTATTGTTGTTGGGTTTGTCTACAGCAAATGCTAATTGATCATAAATACTCCAACCAATTCCACATTTACTTAATAAATCCAAGGGTCGATACGATCCTTTGATATATTGTTGCATAAAATATTTATCCTTTGAGCAAGACCATAACACATCACAATCATGCCATAAAATTCCTATTAAAGCAAAAATTATTATGGTTATGAAAATACATGAAAAATTATTTACAAGATTTATAAATTAAAAATACCTGTTGGAACCTCTTCATGTGTCTCGAAGGAATAACTTGGGATGTAAGGTCTTTTAACATTCCAAACAAATATTCTTGAATCGACCAACGATGAACATGATGCAATCTCATTCGGATAGTTTGGTCTCCATCTGATATAAGATATACCTGACATAGTATTAATCGCATTTTTTGACTTTCTACTATCCGAATTCATATCCCATATCTATTCAAAAATATTAAAAATTAGAATAATAATCATCATCATCATCATTATTATTAATACAAAAACAATTAAACATAACTTTGATAATTTTATCACGTCCTCCGCTAGCAATTGTTCTGCCATCAGAATTCCAATCAACAGATAACACTGATCCAATATGTGCATTGTATCTTTTTTGATGAATTGATGGCTTCCTAATATCCCATTTCTTTAATTAAATAAAAAAAATTTGTCAGAATATATTTATATTAATACATACAGATAGATAATATTTTATTTATTTCACCTGAATTGTTCCATTATCAAATGCAGCCGCAAATTCATATTGATTCATTGAATTAAATTGCACATCACGAACACCATCACATCTTCCTTGAAATGTGTATCTTGCCTTTTCTGGATCTCTAAGATCCTAAATAAATAAAATTTTTATTTACTAAAAATTTAACATATTCAACTACATAATAAGCAAGCCAGAAATACCCACCCACAATTTCATGGTACAATCTTGTGAGGCGCTTAACAATAATGAACCTTGCATTGGACTAAAACATATCCTATTAACAGCACGTGTATGTTCATTGATTCTTCGATCTGTAAATATTTTTATTATTAGAATATTTATTATTTAAGGAGGAAGAGAGAATAAAAAGATGTTTTAACGAAAAAATGCGCGCGCACACACGCATAATAAAAGAAGAATCTTCTTACCAATCCTTGATCTACCATTTCCTATATCCCAAATAACAATTAAACCATTTGAAGCAGCAGTAGCTATTTTGTTTCTTGAAACTAAAATACATAAATTTCACGTAGATCAAATGATAATTTAAAAAATAATCAATCATCACACATACACTCCCCCGCACATTTGTTTCTTGTAAAAACAAATGTCATTTTATAATACTAACTATTATTTCCCCATTTAACATCATTGCTATTATATTTATTCGCAACCTTAACTTTCAATTCTTCCGTAATCTCATTGCCTGATACATTCAAAATTTTCAGCACTATGTGGTATATAAAATAAATTTATTAAATTTATTAGCAAGTTTTATATTTTTTAAAAAAAAAAAGAATTTAAATTTGATAATTCACAACAGCCTTCACGTCCGACAACAACAGCACGAGTTTGATCAGGCGAAGCCGATAAAGCTGTTAATGAACTATTGAATTTATATTTTGTTATATAGTTGTTATTATTATTATTAAAATCATTAGATGGTGATAGTTGTTTTTTGTATTGATTTGTTGTTGTATCAGTTCGACTGCCACCTCTAGTAGTAAAACTAGAATTAGAAGAGTCGGTCTGATTGTTTCCATTAAGTAAAGAGCCAGTATTTGGTAATGTCCATGTTGAAGGTGCAGCATTTGAAGTGGTAGGGCGTACTTCTGTAAGCCAACGTGGAATAATTTTTGCACGTTCAGTCATGACTTTATCATTAACAAGTAGCGTAATGTAGAAAGAAATTAACTGTTTTACTAATTAAAATTTTGTATTTCTAATTTTTCTAAAATGAAAAGATTGTTACATCTGATCATTATAATCAATCTATTGTTTTTTTTGATTTATTAAAATAGAAAAGAGCTGTTGATTTTTTAATTGTTCCGAAGAAAATAATTTCTTTTCAACAAATCTGCATCCTGTGACAAAACGAACATTTTAAGTGATAAATTTTTTATCACATTTACTTTTTTTTCTTTAAATCAAAATAAAGAGAGTAAATTATAAAATTACTATATGAATAACTATGTTTTGAAGGGATAGAAGTTTTTCATTTGATGATGAAAATAGTAATAATAGTAATAGCTGATCGAGGCACAAAAATGTTATTATTAGTAGGGACAAAAAACATTTCAAAAGATGCTCTTTAAAAGCAAACAAATTGTTTGACGAATTCAAAAAAGTGAAGATTTCGATGAATCAACCCTTAATTATAAAAAGGAGATAATCAAGATGCCCAAAAGCGGACAAGTTTTTACCCTTAGTTCAACCAATTAAAAGTCAGAATTTAAAAATCAGCTTCGAAAATAGAAATGTGTATATGTTTAATATTAATATTAATATTAATATTTAAAATATTAAATTAAAAACATTCGACGTTACCCAAACACCCCACAAAATCACAAAATGTGTTCCCATATTTCACGCAGATAATTTCCATATTTGTACTGGTTTGTGCGTGGTCGAATTTTTATTACAAGAATCATAAATGTCTTCTTCAAACCAATTATCAGTTAATAAACGTCATCAAATATGTAATCATCCTAGAGTCGGTTTAGGTGTTTTTGTAGTAAAAGATGATAAATTTTTGATTGGGAAAAGAAAAGGTTCTCACGGTTCTGGTACGTTCGAATTTTTTTGATATTTTTATTTAATTAGTTTAAATTTATTTTAAATATGTATTTTTAAACAGGGACGTGGCAACTTCCTGGAGGTAACAATTATTACAATTATTATATTCTCAACAACTAATATCAAGAAGATTATCATCATCGAAGCTTTTATTTATTTTCATTAGGCCATTTAGATTTTGGAGAATCATTTGAAGATTGTGCAAAGCGTAGGTTATATTTATACGCGTTGTATATGCATTTTATAAATTGATTAATTTGTTATTTTTATCTTTATCAGGTGAAGTATTGGAAGAAACAAATTTAAAAATTAAAAATGTTCAATATCAAGCCATTATTAACATGCCAATGTTATCCGATAATCTTCATTATGTAGCTATTTTTATGCGTGGTGAGGTGATTGACAAAAATTCTATGCCCAAAGTAATCAATCAATCATTAATTACTATTATTATTATTATTATTATTATTATTATTATTATTATTATTACTATTATTATTAAAATAATTTTAATACAACTTACTTTGATTTATTTTATTTTTGTAAGAACATGGAACCAGATAAATGTGAGGTATGGGAATGGGTTACTTGGGAAGATTTAACAAGAGGTGGTCCTGAAAGTAAAGATAATAAGTATCGACCTTTGTTTCAACCAATTATATTATTATTGATTGAACAAAATTATTATAAACCAATTTGAAATTGTTTTATTTTGTATTGAGGGGAAGAATTGATTTTAGAGAGATAAATGCCAACTTGTGGTTATATTAAATATTAGATAGAAATTTTATTTTATTGAAAATCATTAGTTCTTTTTAAAATCAGGTTTATTAATATGTCTTCTGTGTGTTGATGGTATCAAGCCTTTAATACATATGGTTTTTTTAAATAAAAACAGAAATAAATATTAATTAATTGATTATATTATATTACTGTATTATATTATATTATATTTTATATTTTTATTAATAATTTGTAATTTACCAAATGACCTTGCACGCTTAATTGCTTTTGCAATTTTTCGTTGATGTTTTGAACTTAATCCTATATAAATCAACAAAGCTTTTTAAAATTCATCTATAAAAATTTATCAGTACATTACATATATTATTTATACCTGTAATTGATCTTGGTAATATTCTACCCATGTCAGAAACGAAATTTGATAATAATGTAAAATTCTAGAAATGGATGATTAGGTGAATAGACCATCAACATCAACATCAACATCAATCAATTTCAATTTCATAAAAATATTTATTTTTATTGATTACTTTATATTCTACTAATGGATCAAGATTCAACTTTGTAAAAACATCTACATTTGGAGTTTTCCTAATAAATCTTCCAACACGTTTTGTTTTATAACTTTCTTCGTCTAAATCTTGTGGTGAATACAACTATATAAAATATATAAATATGTGAATGATGTATGCATATTAATGACCGGGATTAATAAAAATAATTTTTCTTACTTCACCCTCCATAAATTGTCTTGCATATTTAACTTGAGAATCAGTTGTTTGTGATGGACCTAATCAATTATAATAATTCCCTCATGAATCATTTTTTGTCTAATTTAAATTCTTGGAAATACACACACACACACACACACATATATATATATTACTTGATGCAGACGATTCACGAAGAATTTCTATGATTTTTGAATGTGGATCATCTTGAATATTTTTATCACTATCAGCTGTATATGAGTTTATTTTGTTATTTTAATAATAAAATAAATAAATAAATAATCAATCAAGAAATCCTTACTGTTACTATCACTACTAATACTAGATGAGTTGTTAAATTTTCTTTTTATTATATTTATTAATAAATTCTTATTGTTGTTATTGTTGAATTGTCGAGAGATCAAATCACTTTGAAGGCGATTTGGTTTATAGCTATTTGAAAAAATAGTAAGAGAAATCCTCATAATTATTTGAATCGGAAATTATTGTATCACAAAAATTAATAAAATGACTGATTTCAGAAACAGAGAATTACATATCAAGATATTTAGCAGATCAATCAACATCAAACAAAAACATACTCGGAACATCACCGTGAAAAACTTTTATCTAATCATGGATATATAAGCCTAAGACAAGAACTTGAAAAAGCAAGTCGTGAAAAAGGACTTGACAAAAAGAATGACAAGGAGGGTAACATTGAATCACCTGGGTTGAAAATATTAAAAAAATGGGGATATAGAAAGGGGATGGTGTTGGGTGGAAGTTCTAAAAATGAGGATGTAACAGAACCTTTGAGCATTGAATTAAACAAGGCCATATCTTTGATGATATGCCGTGAGTTTCTGTGTGTATTTTATAAGAGATTATTAAAAAAAATTTCTTTTGTAACCTGTATATAAAGATAAACATGGTTTAGGAATGTCTGCAGAGCTTAAGCAAAAGGCCAAGGTGGGATATGAAAGAAGAACAAAGAAAATCAAAGTGGACGAAAACACGTTTCGTGAACGAATTAGACAATAACATCTTGATAAACGTATACGAGCACAATTAAAAGCTTTACAAAAAATATGTGAAACTTTTTGGATACAAGAAAAGCTTTTCAAATAAAAACAATTATTGATTAATTTAATAGTGAAATTATATTAATGATGAATTTTATCAATACATTTGTACATACAATATTATTCAAATTCCAAGGAAACGAAACACAAGATCATGGTGGTGATGTTAATCCTGACGATTTTTAATTGGAGACCATTATCAAGAATACCATTGGCTAAAGATGATGACAAAGATGATGATGATGGTAAATTTACTAAGCTAGAAGTAATTAATGAAAATTATTGGGAGTTTTTTTTTAAGAAAAATACATAAATTTATAATCAATCAATTTTGGTAACTGATATTATTATTGGCCTTCTTGAAAAGCTCGATATAAATATTGAAATATTTACATGAAGAGTATTATTATTATTGGTGTGGTGGATGCAATTATAATAATGCCGTGAAATTATGTAAAATTTTCAACGTTGACTCTGCCCGAGTTTGATGATACCTTATTAATTCTGATGACCGTGTTACATACAGTTACGAAAAGTGTGATGCCAACCACCCATTATAAAGATTATATTTATAAAGAAATGAATTGGCTCAAAGTTTCAAATAATTAATTAATATTTTTAATAAAAGAGTCTTGTATTATTTTATTGTAAAGGAATCCGAAGAATCTTCGCCATCGGAATGTTGTACTTCTGTACTTGGTAGTAACGAAATTTTGAAATAGATCGTCGAACTCTGGTAACCATAATAAAAACCACTTCAAAATTGTTTTCTAATTATTTGATCATCATTTTAGTCATTATTTATGTTGGCATTCTTTCAACTTTTAGACTTCATTATTACTAATAGATGCTTTTTGATATGAGAACAAAATTCATAACAATCATGCCAGGCTTGCTCTTTTTTCAAGACCTTCAAATATAGTATTAAATTCTCATCACATTGAATTTTTCAAGTAATTTAATATTATTAGATTTTTATGTGGATCTTTTTTGACTTAATTAATGGAAGCAACACGCAATAACTTGGTATTACCTGCTGCACTTGGACAGACCAGCAGATATTATTTTACTGACGTATGATAACCGGGTTACGACTGATAATTTCGGAAATAGGCTCATCGTATACTTTGGATGTAAGAACTAATTTGTAATCATTTTGATTCAACATCTAACGTATAGTTAGATGTTGGTCGTTGAAAATGAATAAAATAAATTTTATAATTTTAGTTACAATCGATACTAATTATTACGAGAAAATTCAGTCTGCAAAAAAAAACACCCAACCGGAATGTTCATTGGTCTATCATTATTTTTTTAAGAGAAATGCTTGTAATGATCTAGTTAATAATGTTCGGGATATTTTAACATTGTGGAAAGAGCTATAATCTTGATTATTATGTGGGAAAATGTGGCAATCAATAATATTATAAATTGAATTAATAATGAAACTAAAATATATTTGTTTCAAATCAAATGAGCCCTATTGCTTGGGACGAATTCACTTTGACATTTCATAATTATTTGATTGGCATCATGAATTTTTTAAAAATCTCACTGGAAATTATTATTGTATAATATAATTTATCTTGAGCGATAGATTTTAATTAAATCAAGATTAGAAAAAATGTTATTATATAAAAATAAAAAATTAATAAATAATAAAATTACTTGATAATATGTATATGTGATTGTAATGTTTTTCTATCTATATGTATATAATATATACCGATTTATATCTAAATTAATCGACACCTAAGCTCTATAATAATCAGGCTTTTTAACATTGATCCCATATTCGGATAATGCAGCAGAAAGATCCTCTAACGTTAGAACTGTTTTATTGCGCTGCTAGCAATTCATTTAAAAAAAACAAAAAAGTGAATAATTAATTAATTAAAGAAATTTAGGAATAAATAGAAATTTACTTTTCCAAAATTTTTTCTACTTTGTTGTCTTATCTTACAGTATTGAAATGCATCAGTTGCAATGTCTGCTATGAATTTTTGTGTCGCAATCGACATAAGACGCATTCTTTAAATTATAATTATTATTAATATTAGATCTATATCCATGATATTAGATATCATTCATTAACTTACATTCTATCATCGTCACAAGAAAAACCAGATCTAGTAAGAAAGTATTCTGTCACGCTGTCAGGAATCTTTCGGAAGCAAGAAGAGTAAATAAAATATGAATATAAACCCTTTTTTTTAAATAAAATATGTAAAAATAAATTATTTCCAAGAAATTATTATTTACAAGTGGTTCCAATTTATCAGTAATTAATAAAATATCTGTCAGTGATCTGTCGTTTCTTAATAATAATTCTTCTTTTTTTGTAATTGAATTGTCTTCTTTATTTTCTTCTTCACCGCTGCTACTACTATAATTATCATTGCTGTTATCATCCATAATATCTGTAGTTGTCGACATTTTTATTTATTTATTTTCCTTATTATTTGAATATTTAACTTGTTAATGTGTGACAAAATTTCTGCAATATTAAAATAATAATTTATTATTATGATAATGATTCATAAATCCAGATACAGTAGCAGCATCAGATTTTTTGAATAGTTAATTTGGATTCTTTCGCATATCAAAGAAATCGTTGGTGCAAGTCCAAGTCGTGGAATCATGGATGACTTATGTTATGGTTACTGAACAACATATTTAGCAAGTACATTCATCATAATAAACTAGTATTATTATAACAGCATCGGGAGAATTGCATGCAAAGCTTAATTTGATGGAGAGTTTTGTGGAAACAATTAAACACAATGTTTAATTCAATTACAAGACGTGGTGGAATACTGAATGTATTATTAGAGTTTTTTAATTATTATTTATTATCATCGTTATCATCATTATTAATTTTCATGATTAATAAAATAAACAAATGGATATAATACTATTAATGGTATTATAAGTTCAACACGAGGTAGACATGATACCATAAATAACATTGCTTCAGATACTTTAGTAGGTGGTCTTTAAATATACAGTTAAGGTATATATTGTGATTTTTTAATTATTTCTAATTTTATTATTTTATCTATTTATCAATTAAATATATTTAAAAAGAGTTTGTTGAATTGCATGATCTCTCTCTAAATCAGAACATGAATGGTGAAATCTTAACAAATAAATCTGGACCAATAAAATGAACCTTCTACTGCTTAGATCATAATGCAAAAAAATATCCTAGTATTCTGGGAATTGGCAGAACTTATTTTGATAATATCGTCTCACCATGGTAATGCTAAAAAATGCCTCATTGAAAAGCGGCTCTTTTGGTAAGTAGTATAAATCAATTAATTTACATATATGTTTATGTTTGTATATTAGGTTAATATTTTATCTATTCAATTATGTTTATATAGAAATGCAATTTATTGAATATGCCAAAACTGATCCTTACAATCTATTTATAGAAGAAAAGAATCATTTACCTGCTCAATCAGGAGAAATATATCATGTTATAAATAATGAAGATGGCAGTAATGACCATAATAAAATTGGCAAATCATGCATAGTTAAAAAAGTTAGATCAAATAACTGTAATGATGAAAACATTTATGCTGCTAAAATTATCAATGTCAATAATGGAAAATATGACAAAAACAGAATAATTGAATATAGAAATGAAATTGATATTTTTGAAAATATTGGACCATGAGAATATTATAAAGGTAGTTGATGATTATTTTGACAAGGAGAATATTTTACCTTATCTTTGTGGAGGATTATATTAAAACATTAAATGGTTTTATAAATTTCCAATGTTGGAAAAATTTTGCTTTCCAAATTTGTTCAGCTATAAAGGCAAGAACATTTTTATTATATTTTTATTAATATTGTATTCAAATATTACATTTAATCATTTTAAACATTACCATAGTTGTATATATATCTTTTATACTACATATAGTAACATTTTAATTTTTTTATTCCCTCTAGTACATTCACGAAAATCACATAATGCATTGAGACATCAAACCTGACAACATCATGTTTACAGATTCTAGTTTTAATCAAGTTAAGTTGATTGATTTTGGTGAGTCAAAAAAAATAGAAGGATCTACTGACAGCATGGGCAATTATATTGAACAGACCAGCACAGATTTAGTTGGGACACCCTTATTTGTTGCATCTGAACTTGCCAAGGAATTCAAAGATAGAATTGTGATGTTTACAACAGATAATGATAGTGATTGTGATACTGCTCAATATGAATATGACAAATTTATTGATATCTGGTCATTTGGGATAGTAAATTACTATATGCTGTTAAAAAAATATCCTTGGAGTGTTAAAAATCATGTTAAAGGAGTGGAAGTTTGTATATACAATAAAAAAAGTTTAAACCTACTTATTTCACCATATAAGGTTTAATTTGATTGGTTAATTGAACATTATTAATATTAATATCATTAAAGGCTGACAATATTTTTGGATGTGAACTAAATCAAATATTAATAGTTATCTATCATTTTTTATTATTACTATTAATATTATTATTGTCAAGATCTTCAGGCATATATTTGATACTATATGTTCATTATACCATAAGATATATATGATAAAATAAGCATAGTGGACATTTGAATTTGTCACATGTGACAAAATTGATTGGTGATCTTTTTTATATTGTGTGACTGTTCGAATTCAATTATTTAAAATAGAAAAAACATGGTCATAATAACATGATCAAAAATAATAATAATAATATTTAAATTCAGAGTTCGCCCGAAAAATCTAGTTTCAGAAATGATCATCAAGCCAATAAAATTTAATTTTTGTGTGATATCTGGAAGGGAGATCATCACAAAATTTAGCCAATGAAATCAAACTTCCATCATGCTGCTTCTTGCAGCATAGTGGACTGGGGTGTGAGATGCCCTAATTAAATCAAAATTAGGTGATGTAACATAATGCCGATCAATAACAAACTTTTTTTTAAAAAAATAAGAATATATGTAAAAACTATATAAATAAAAATCGTATCAGAGCCTTCAAATAAAGAGATA